TTTTTTTTTAGATTGGCGTCTTACATTGCGAGCCTTAGCACGTAGCTTTCTAAACTTAATGAGATTTTCAACTGCTGGGTAACGGCGCACTATTGTCCATGCACAGTTTTGCCGCTTACGAGCTAGGCTACACTCCTCATTCCACCAAGGCTTTGGCTTTGATGGTAAGCGTCCTGACGTTTTTGGAATAGAGCGCTGTGCTGCTTCGACAATTACATTAGTCACGACTTCACAGGCTTCATTAACATCTAAGCTAGCTAATGTATCTGGATGCAACTCTGACTCCTTTTTAAAAGTGGCCCAGTCAGCCTTTTCCAACTTCCAACGCGGAGTTCGAGTTTGTAATGATTTAAAAGAGACTGTGCTTTTTGAAACAATGGGAAAGTTATCGCTACCATAGGGATTCTGATCTACACTCCATGAGAAGTCAGGCAGCAACGAGGCACTATCAATGGAGAGGTCGATGGAGGTCGATGATAAGGATGAGGCGCTAAAATAAGTTGAAGTACCAGTATTAAAAAGGCAAAGGCTTCGAGAAGTTAAAACTGATTCGATTATTTTCCCACGAACATCAGTTAGATTCCCACCCCAAAGGGTATTGTGGGCATTAAAATCCCCCATCAAAAGAAAGGGCTTTGGAAGTTGCTCTGAAAGAGAGTGAAGTTCTGCCCTTGTTATAGCTTGTGAGGGTGATAAATATATTGAACAAACAGAAATGGCTTTATGTACTAGAACACGCACTGCCACTGCTTCTAAAGGAGTGTGCAAGGGTATCCCCATACAAGCAGCCAGCCTTGGAACTACTATCGCTACTCCTCCAGATGAAATGGTAGCATCTAGGCGGTCCTTCCGAAAGACAGTAAAATTTCGGAAGAAGTTGGTATGTGTGGCATTTAAATGTGTTTCTTGTAAACACAGGGCTGCAGGTTTGTGTTCCTGCAGAATATATTCAACATCGTCGAGGTTAGTAAGTAATCCCCTGCAATTCCATTGAAGAAATGTTGCACCCATGTGTTGGAGATTCTTACTTCGGGGTTGTTACTTGTTTTTTACTTTTATGGCGGGCCTTGGGAGTCTGCCACTCCATGTCGTCTGTGTCAGACGCATGAGAGTAGGCTTGGGTACATTCATATATAGGTTCTGAGTCCTGTGGCGAGACCTTCCCGGATGGTATGGAAAGGCTCTGACCACGAGGAGTCGGCCGTCGACCACGACCACCTCCAGCCAAAGAGGCGGTGGAGGTGCCAGGCAGGGAGGCGCCAGAGACCTCCTGTTCCTGCCCTTTGGGTGTTGGAGTGGCACAGGAACTATGCCGCTCCTTGGATGAGGATGTCTTCTCCTGAGAGCGTGGGCCCCTCTCCCTTGAAGGGGATCGCGGGCTACGGACAGGCTTGGCCGTTGCCGACCCAACCTGTGAAGGGGATGCCGTCTGTGCTCCCTCCCCACTAACTGGGACAGACTGCTGTCCCGTGAGAGCGGGAGGGGTGGTCGTCTGGCTGGAGGAGGCAGTAGACCCCCCAGCCGATACTGCACGCCCGGGCAGCTCGATTTTAAGCTTGGACGTGGGGGACTGCAGTGGCTTCCGGTAGTCCACAAAGGACGTCTGGGTAGCCACTGCAACCTTCAGTGGTGCATGTCCCCGCTGCACCACCTGCGCGTAGCCGCCCTTTCGCAAGAAAGCAAAACGACAGCGTGCCTCCAGGTATGACAAGTTTTCTTTTATTTTCAGAGTCAGAAGTTCTTTCTCATCTTTCCATACTCTACATGATCTGGAGTATGCCGGGTGGGCCTCGTTGCAGTTTGCGCAGTGTGCGCTGTTTGTGCAGGAGTCTGTCTTATGATCAGTTTTACTGCATTTCGCACATGTGGCTTTCCCGCGACAGTTCTGGGAGCCATGTCCGTACCTCTGACACTGAAAGCATCTCCGGGGGTTAGGGATATACGGCCGAACCCTGCAGTGGAGGTATCCACCCTTGACAGCTTCAGGAAGTGTGGCGGCTTCAAATGTTAGAACGATGTGTTTTATTCTTATTTCCTGCCCATCACGTCGCATGCAGATACGCCTTGCGGCCACGACTCCTCGGTCAGAAAGACCTTCAGCAATTTCAATGTCTGTTGTCTCTAGAAGGTCCTCCTCGGAGATTACTCCCTGGATCGTATTCAGTGTGCGATGTGGCGTGACTGACACCTTATGGTCAGACAGTGAACGCAGTGCAAGGAGTGCTGTACTCTGCCATGCTGGTTTCAATTTCTACCAGAAGACCGCCAGAAGACATTTTTTTTGGCTTTGAAGCTCTTTCCCACAACACTTTCCAGTACTTTTGCAACAAGGAAGGGTGATAATTTTGAGAGCTGTTTGTCACTTTCGGAGTGAAAAACCAAAAACTTTGGGTAATTGGAATGAAAACATGGAGTCTTGTCTAGGATGATAACTTCGGTGCGGCCTCTTTTCAGAGGCCGATCAGGTTGGTTTGACTTGGAACCCATAAAAGTGGGGAGGTTTTCAGAAACTGTGGCGCACCGCCCACCACCGAGCCCAACAAGGGGGTAGGTAGCACCCCATAGCAAGTATGGCTTGGATGGGTATGCTACACTACCAGTGCTACCCAGTAACTATAACCAAGTGTGGTTCAAGAAAGGTATCTGTCGCCCCCCAAGTTTAGCCCTTGCCGCCAAGGCAAAGAGAAAAAGGAGCAAGAGAAATGAGAAAGAAATGAAGGAAACAGGACAGGTAAAAGTGAAAGATCAGAGGGGATAGTAGAAGAAAAGGTGACTAGACTGAATCATCCTGGCCGGGCCTTACCAGGACTCCCGTCTACGAGAAGCGGGGGCCGAAGTAATCTATTGCCTCAGCCGGGGGGCCCCGAAGGGTCCAAACCTACCCCGGGCTCGGCTCAACCACCAGGATGCCCTTTTCCCCGGACACGGGCTCGCCACGCACAGCCAGACGTGGGTGGGTCTTAGCCACTTTTTACTCAAGGTCTGTGGTGTCTCCAATGTGGCTAGGGTCCGTGGTGACGCTACTCACCAAGCACCTAGCACCTAATGTGCAGGCGCCCCCTGCGGGGCTTGGGGTCCGTGGAGACGCCACTCTCCAAACACCTGCTTCCACAGGTGCACCCTGCGGGGAAACATCAGATCATCTTGCGTGTGTACTTCCCCTCGGTATGTCCAGTATGGTCGAACCGACTCTGGGACAGCTTGCTTGTAGTCTGGCCAGGTCGTTTCAGCGAATTCACGAAGCTTGACGAGCGCAGGATCTTCGTTGGTAGCTGCTAGTAGATCTTTCAAACGTCGCTCCGAAGCTGAAACATAGTCAAGCACATTAACTTGAAACTGTTCGGCTTCTTTTTGCATTTTGATTTTACTGGAGAACCGTTACAAAGCATCTGCTAGGAATAGTTCTTTCCCCGGCTTGTATTGCAATTTGATAGGATAGCGTTGCAAGGACAATCGCATGCGTTGCAACCGCAGTGGGCACTGATGAAACGGCTTATCGAAAATTGGTACTAAAGGACGGTGATCCGTTTCCACTGTCACACCTGCCTGGCCAAAGATGTAATCGTGAAATTTTGTGCAGCCATGCACAATCGCCAACGTCTCTTTTTCAATTTGTGTGTAGCGTTGTTGCGAATCAGTGAGTGAGCGCGATGAAAAAACGATAGGGTGGCCCTCTTGGATAAGCCCGGCGCCAACCCCAAACTGATTGGCATCAACCGAGAGCGTGACTGGCTTTTTTGGGTCGAAGTAGGAAAAAAACCAGCGCCTTTATCATTGCCTGTCGCAATGCTTCAAAGCTTTGTTGCTGCTTTTCTGTCCAGACCCATGCTATACCTTTACGTAGCAAGGCCCGAAGCGGCACTGTTATGACTGACATGTTAGGAATAAAGCGCTGCACGAAATTCATTGTGCCGAGCAAAACTTGAAGCTCCTTGCAGTTTCTTTTTGGCTCCGGCATCTGCAGGATGTCGTGCACCCGTTCTGGGTCGAGGCGCAGATTATGCGTTTTGAAGACGTGTCCCAGGTAGCGGACTTGTTGCTGCAAAAAGATGCACTTCTTGGGGTTCAGTCCGAAGTTGTGTTCTCGACACCGCGTCAAAAGCAGAGTCAGGTTATAGTCGTGTTCTTTCGTTTTTCCCCACGGTAGTATATGATCCATCACAACCGCAACACAAGGCAACCCTTCTAGCAGTCTGTGTATTGCGGCTTGAAAGATTTCCGGCGCAGAAGCAATCCCAAAGGGCATACGAAGTGCTCGTCGTGCAGAGTTTAGAACTAGCCTCCGTGAGTTTGATTTGCCAAAATCCGGACGCGGCATATAAGAGGATAAGAACTTGGCCTCAGCAAGCCGCGAAGCGACATCCTTTAGCGTTGGCATGGGGTAGTGCTCACGTAACAACGCTTTGTTAAGTGCTGTTAGATCCAGACAGATGCGTATCTTGTCCTTTTTAACAACTCTGACCATGTGGCCAGACCATTCCGTTGGCTCGGTTACCTTTGCAATGACGCCTTGCTCCTCCATGCGCTGTAGGTCTGCCTTCACCTTTTCCGGAAGAGCCACGGCTACTCTTCTAGCCGGCACGACGACACCCACGCTGCCGGGTTTCAGCTTCATTGCGTACTCGACGTCCTTCAGCTGTCCGAGTCCCTTGAAGTCTTCTGCAAAGGGTTGTGCTGGCGGGTAAAGCTCTTCGAAGTGGACGTTCTGCACACGACGTATAAACCCAAGACGTTCGGCAACTATACCACTTAAAGTCACCAGAACATTGTGGTCTACTACGAAGCATGTTTCTTCGTGTGTATTTCCGGAGAGCAGCAGCGTTACTTTGGCCTGCGAGGTGGTCTTGTGACCGAAGATAGCAGTAAGCGTAGCGGTTACAGGCTTGCTGAGGCTTTTCCGGGAGCCTCGTCACGTCATGCCGCGAAATAACGCAACCATTTGCACCAGTGTCCTACTTGCAAGTCATTAGCTGACCCTCCATCTCGACGGTTGCGCTCCACTAGTCTGTCGCTATTGTGCTGATAGATAAAGCCTTCAAGAAGAAATCTTCGTCATCTACGCGCAGTTCCCGACGATTTTTCTTTTCTTTGTTCGCCTTCTTTTCTCTTGTTGCTCGCGAAGTTTCCGGCGACTTGCACGCTTGAGCAAAGTGATTCAGCCTTCCGCATTTGTTGCACGATTTTCCTTGCGCGGGCCAAGCGTGGGCACTGTACACTGTATAACCCCACCTACTGCAGGGTTTAACGCTCGCTGCGACGGTGTTCACTGCAATGTCGTGCGCTGCCGATTCACTTATTTTGCGGAACTCCTCTTTTCTTTGCTCCGGAACGCGGCGCATTTCGACGGTCTTCCGATAGGGTTTTCTGCCATCATGCAGTTTCTTCAGCAAGGCCTCATCTCTAATGCTAAGGATAATACGGCTGCGTAGCATACGCTCTTCTAGTTCTCCAAATTCACAGCTTTTTGCTAAAATTCTGAGTTCTGTCAACCAGTCGCTGAACGACTCGCCTTCCTTCTGATCCCTTGACCCAAAGCGAAATTCCTGGACGGTCAAATTGGTGGCCGGTCTGTAGAAGTCCTCAAATTTACGAATCAGGGTGTTAACATCAATTCTGTCTTCCTCAGTCTCAAACTTGAAGCTGTTGTATGCTTTTCGGCCTTCCTCGCCAATAGTCACCAGCAACGTTGCTGCCTGCACTACTTTCGGTTGCTTGCTCGGTTGCGTAGCTGTAGAAAACAATGTGAACTCACTCTTCCACGTTTTCCATCCAAGCCATGTGTCGCCCGAGGTGTTCAAAGGCTTCGGTGGCGGCAGCTGTAGTTGCAGTGCTGACGGGGTCGACATCTCGACTGTTTTTCTGGCTAGGCACCGCTGCCACCATGTAAGCGGGCCAGACGTCGGGTGATGAAAGAGGTTCATTCAGGAAAGGCAGCGGCTTATATGGCCGAGGCGTGACGTGTCTTGTCACGTGTACCGGCTTCGTTCGGGACGTCATGATGAGTCAGACTTGAGCCACGCTACAGACAGTAAGTGTAGTTCAAGAGCTTCTTTACGTTGGGTCACACTGATGTCATGAGTATAAGCTGATGCGATTAATCGGGCTGCGAGGATTTGTATGCATTTGTATGCATGTCGGCGACGAAGAAAACCACTCGCACCGAACGCCGTCCGGTTGCAAACATAAATTTGTTTAACCTTGCCATTCTTTGTGCGAATAGAAACTAGGGGGAGGAAAAGAAAAGAGCGAACGCCGGACGCCGGTATTCGGCTTTTGAACGAGTTCAAACAGCGAGTAAAGAGACCAGTTTGTACACATTGCTCAGAAAACAAAAGCAATTCGATTACAATTACAATTACTCTTGGCTAAAAAAAAGTGTACAAGTAGATTACATGATTACTTAAGATGAAAAGTAATTAACCGTTACAGTGAAAAGTAACCGTTCGTTTTCCGATGAATTAAGTTCTTCAAAACTGCATACATTTTAGCTGGTCTGAAAAAGACCTTTCGTAATGTCCATTAATGGGTTATAATCATCGGATTACAAATTACTCAACATCTAAATTCAGCACTCTTGGTAGGCCGTCCCCCCGTCGCAGACTTGGTTCGAAGATTCCGTGGTAGAAGGGTTATGGGTAGAAAGGGCGCGTTTAGTAGAGGTAGGGAAAATAGAATGGGTTAGAAGTCGTTCTATCAGTTTCAGTAGTGATCTCATTAGTAACTAATAAAGGTAATCAAAGGATTGCAAAATAACCCCAAATAGGAATCGATTACAAGTAATTAGATTGCTTGTAATGAGCATCGTACAATCATAATTACGAATTAAAACCTTAAGATAATTCTTAATTATGATTGTTCGCTAGCTCGCCTGCGTTTTGACTTTTATTTCATCATCGTACAAATCTGGACAAAGCCAGCTAGCATTGCCGTCTACCGACTAATCATTCCAACCATAGCTCGGCGCTCTAACGTCCTCGCGCGTTCTCCTCTTCTCCTCTCCCTCCGTTTCCCTCCATATAGCGGTGCGCTATTGGTGACAAAAGGTATCGTGACGTTACGAGAAGCACTGTCAGTTGAGGACGGCTAGTTCAAGGTAGCGTGCGCAAAGCTGGGTGGAAGTGGAGTATTGGGTGGAAGCACGGAGACATCGCGCTACTAACCGAAACAGTTGCAGTTCACAGTCCGTCACTGTTAAGTTTGGCTGGCAGCGCTTTTAATTCGATGAAAGCGGAATTAATATGGCGAAGGACGTCATAGCGAGCATTTTGGCCGATTGCGGGAGGCCCACCAAAGCGACGCGTTTGGCCGCACACCTTGTGAGTTGTGGTGAGCCTTCTAGCCCACTATGTATGGCATGTGCCGTTGTAATACTAAACTTCATTCGCGTCAGGCGGCGCTTTCTGTGCTAGCTTTATTTGCTTAAGTTAACCGAGTGCACACCCTTCGAGGTATCGCTAAAGCACAAACAGCTTCACTGCAGCACTACCAAGAATGAGAAGAAGGAATAGCCAGTTGCGAATAGCCGCTAATCTCGCTAGCTGCCGTCTCCCTTTCGCGACATGACGCGCGCATGATGCGCGAGTTTCCGCGTTCCTGCAGCTTCGTTGGTTTTGTCTGCCGCTTTGCTATTTTCATAGTCGCTGACAGCTCATAAAACTTAGGGCGTCGTTAGGCCTCGAGAATCTTATTATGAATCAGCAGCCAGTGAGACGTCTGCCTTAGACGATTAGACGATGAAACTCCGAACAGTGAACCATGGAGCAAGAACCGTTAACGTACAGTTACAACCGGCGCTTCTGTTAGCTGTCAGTTAGCACAGTAAGGCTTCACATATACCTATTCCTTTCAACTGCCCCCTGACACATGACTTGACTGAATGGCTGCTTTGACAGAAAGTGATGACTCAGTCCGCTTACTTTTAAAATGCTGATTATAACGGATAACTGGTAACTCGTTTGACTTGCTGCAAATCTTGTTTGACAGTAGCCCATTTCGCTCTTAAGTTTTCTTTTTTACCCTGCTCACCTTTCAAAGCGGTAGCTTTATAGGGCCAACTAGCCTCATGAGCTCCGTAAGCACGAAATGTGTAGGTAGATCAGTCTGGTAACCGCTAAACGATCTTGGAAAAGAAACGTCTAGCGGTGCCAGGGTCCGAACCCCAGTCAAGGGCGCGGAAAATAAGCGCGCTGCTGACTGAGCTACGGAGCCAGCACAAAGGAACGGGAGGAGCAGAAGCAGGTGGTGAAAGAAAGGACGCAAAATAGAGAGAGGTGAAAAGGGCAAGAAAGAAAGGAGCAGGAACACAAGGAGAGAAAGGCGTGACTTAAACCGTTTTCATACAAAATCCCGCCCTAGGCACAACCTGACCTAAGAGCAGCACTCACCGCAGGCACTGAAAGACTAAAGGTCATCCTTTCCTAGGCACCACCCAAACTGAGAGCACCACCCACCCTTTGAAGCTACCGCATTTAAACGAGTTTGGCAGAATTACCAATCACGCAGCCAATGTTTTTGCTGTTGCGTCTTGTTGTCCTGTATATAAATGTTTTTCTTATTTGAATTGCCTCAGTTGCCAGCTGGTGTCAAGCAACAAACGTTTCAGCAAATATCTCAACTGAAAGCGATTCAAGTTTTTCTACAGTGACAAATCAGCACGAGGCGTTGCCAAGTAAAGCTTCTTAGAGAGAAAAAAACGACAAAATAACACCAGCTTTTGAAATGTATGTGCGTATATATCCAGGTTCACTTGTCAAAATGAAAATCTCTTTAGCATGTCAATTAAGGATATTTCTGTCTTCAATGTGTTAGTTCTGCTTGAAGCCCGAGAAATAATAAACAAAGACCATAGACTCAAATCGTCCTTTTAATCACAAGCGAAAGCAGAAATGAAAAATGAAAGAATCCAAGAATAAGTCGTTCATATGTATAACGTACTATATGTCAAACATTCATCTTATACTGATATGCACGTGGTCAGTTAAAAAAATTAGATGGGCAGTATGTGTCACCTGGCGAAGCTTCCACAAAAACAGGGCATCTGCCAAATAAGAAAACAAAAACTTAAGATAAATATAGACGTAAGCACAAGGAAACAGTTAAATTCACTAACTTTGATTTTTCTATTAGCATAAAGGTGAACAACAGACCAAAGGTAGTTAAAAAAATAGAGTTGTCTCATTTAAAATATGTGTTCTGTACTTACAAGGCGGGTGATAGTGCTTGTTTGTATGCCTTTAACGTTCTTCCCATGGCTGACATAAAAATAAAAACAGATGCCAAAAAAAAAAAAAAAAGATTACTTGAGGTCACGGTATTCTGCTATTAAGAGGAAGTGCAAGCAATAGCACTCGCCTGATGTGTTCGCTCTCGCTGGAGCCGTTATGGTACCACCTCACGTCATCTGCAGGTGCAACGCTATTAAATAAAACCGGCCAGTTTTCTAGCGGGCCACGCCATGAATTTGGCGCGAGGTAATGCAACGACAAATTGCGGCAGTCGTAGCTGCGTTCTTTTTACTTACTTCTTTGCTTGAAACACGAATGTAAGCACCCAATGCTCATCACGTAGAGCAGAACTTCTCTTCTTGTTTAGTAGATGTCGAGATAAATTTGTGCAAGACTGGGCGTTTCGCCCTTGCTTTCAAGAAGTTTGTTGCGGCGCGCACAGGTCGTCATAAACCAGGTATTCCTAAACATCTCGTGCAGACGCTAAAAACACGAGCCAAAGAACGTTAGCCACTATATAAGTTATATGTGCGTGCCTTACGGTATAATGCGCGTGCATATAAGGTGTACACGCTTGTAGTATATGTACGCAGAAATATGACACCCTTTACACTACGTACGCTGTACGACGTTGTTGGTGCGAACACGTCGTGACAAGCTTGCAGCATTACTAGCGGCATTTCAGCTACTAATATAATGAGAGCTAAACAAAAGGAAGGGACGAGGACAAAGGTGTACAAAAGCCTGTACCCATATCTGTCCTCCTCCCTTTCTTTTGTTTAGTTTTCTACGTCAACACGCCCGTTCAAATCCCATTTCAAGCTACACACAGCAAGACTAAAATGATTGACTCCGGAAAGTTTGACTCGTTTATTTATAAAAGAGAAGTCGTTCTAAATAATTCCGATGAGAATGTAAGTGTACATATTGCCCGTTACATTTCAATTTTTTACTTTATTTTTAAGTCGTAGACTACCACTAAAATGCTTGGTCGGACAAATCAATTTGAGTTTTGTCTTTTTCTTCTTTTAAGGAAATGTTGGTTTCTTACGCGCGTATGATAAGGAAAAAATTGACATTTTTTTTGTGTACTACTATAATATAGCCCTTAGGGGAAGTAATTGCAGTTAATTGCAATTAAGTTATTTAATTCTAAAATGTATAAAAACACTTCTGACTGTCAACAAGTTTTAATTTACAACTTCGACTGTGTATCAACGTTAAAGTTTGGAAATATGTTATTCAAGTAGAGTATTTGTTGTGCTGCCAAAGAAGAGCACACTATTTTACGCTTATGCCACTTATCGCTAATCAAATCCTAACATAACACATTTCTAAATTATCTAAATACTTTCAAAATTATTGCGTTTATTCTTGTTAGGCTTCACTTTAGTTCCGAAAACCTTTTCTTGGAAAAGCTAAAAAGAAATTGGCAGTCTTCATCTCACTTGTAATCAGTTGTAAGAAAAACAAGAAGGCAAGAAGAAAAGTGGGGAGCCCGAACAAGAGACGAAGGGTACCGTTTTTTTTTTTTTTTTTGTTCTTTTTGCTTTGGGGGGGGGGGGGGGGGGCTATACATGTGCCTACTTTAGTTTTGGACACAAAATTTATTTTTTCCAGTC